GTTGAGAGCAACTGAACTAACTTGGAACAAGCAGCAAAGTCTATTGAGCTAATTAAAACAGGAGAATTTGCTCTGACACATGCTAAATAAACCTCATGCGTGCACATCATCGCTGACTAAGGCACTGCAGGTTAAATAAATTCAGCATTGCACATCCAAGTTGCAGGCGTTGCTGATTAAGGCAGTTCTTTAACCATCAGACAAAACATGATATTCTCAATATGCTACTACAAGCACATCCAATGAGTAAAAGTTACACATCCAAGTTGCAGTAGCTCGATCTGGGGAGATCTGGGGAGGACAAGGAGGAGAGAGGAAGGGCTCACCGGTTCTTGGGACGAGGCAAGGCGGCCAGGTGGGGGCAGTCACGGAGCAGGGGTGGAGATCGAGCCGGCGTGGTCACGTCGGCGGGTGGGCGGCGGCGGCGGCACTGGATCAGGCTTAGGTAGCCGCGCGTCGAGGTGGCGACGGCAGCCCCAGCAACTACGAGAAACAGTCTGAGAAGAACACCGAAACCCTAGCGGGATAGGTTGAGGCGGGCTCACTGTTGGCGTGAGCCGAAGCGACGAGTAGGCGGAGGAGAGGCGGTGACGGGATGCCGGGCAATGGCGGCGTCCTCGCGACTAGCGGCTACGCGAGCGGAGGAAGAGGCGAATAGCTGTGCGAGCGGTCGGCACGGGGAAACCATCCCAGCCTCATCACTCGTGGATTTCTTCTGCGTGGAAAACGAAGGGAAGCGGGCTACGATCCTCGGGTTGGTGGGCTGCCAAAGGGTGAAAAAATTTGTCCTGGGGAAGACTGGCACGGGGCAGATTGGCCCAGGGAAAAGGCCGGGATGTACAGGGAATCTGGGCTGCCAAAGTAGGCCTTATAGTAAAGTAGTTTTTGGTATAAATTATGAACAAATTTAGCCATGGCCTTTTCTTTAATGAGCAAATTGATTCCTTGGCCCTAAAAAAAAGTTGAGCTTAGTTTTTTGGCCCTATTTCTGTTGAACTTTGTTATTTGGCTCTGAATTAAATTTCGTTTGGAAATTTGGCCCTTCTATTAGTTTCACTAGTTGACGGTGTTAAAAGCAAGGTGAAATGACCTTTTTACCCCTAGAGCGAAATGAAACACTAATACAATATACAGTACAGTCATACATGCATCTCAGGCTGTCTATTATCATCAATCTCCCAAAGTAAGTAAAATACTTTTTGAAGCATGAAATTATTATTTTTCATATATATTTGCCCATGACATCACACTGACCATTTGAAATGCATATAAATTCACACTCCAAGTGCACACTTACACAATGATTTCAATCCAATGGATGAAAACATTAAGGCGATAGGTTCAGGTCATCTTGAACAAGGTTCACACATACAAGAGATGTCTAAGTTCATAAATAAGTTCACATTAACCAAGTCAAGCAAACATACAGTACATGGCATCAATCATAGAACATGCATATCAAAGGCTAAGTCTTTTCTTGCTTGGTGTACTCGTTGCAGGGATAGGTGGTTGTATTTTTTTTTTGCTTCTAGTACCCATGGATGGGCTGTCATCCTTAGTACTTGGCACTTTCTTCTTCTTTATGGGTTTCATCTTCTTTGTAACCTTAGCCTTCACAGGTTGTTCCATGTGAGAGGGATACTCGATGGAAAATGCTTCTGGCTGATTTGAGCCACTTCTTGACCTTCAAAAGTTCATTCTCAGCTGCAAATATCGTTAGTTTAATATACAATAGTCGAATGGAAAAAATTCAGATTTAGAAAAAAACACCTTTTTATAGCCTAGAGCTAGATTTATTTTGTTTTCCCTTAGTCTTACTTGAAATCTACAAGCTATGGCTGTGATGATAGAGATCATCTATTTAGTTTCCTAACCAAGTGGCAGTTAATATGTGGCAGAACCGCCTAATCTAATGTCTCTCAGGAGTACTTGTCTTTCATTAGACACTAAGTACTCAAGGGAGAACATCAAATTACGACAGTTCCGTCGGGCACACCCCAAGGGAGAACCCGAAAATCTATATTTTTCCATCAGGACCACAAATGAGAGAATAAAGCTTACATCATTCTTAACTATTTCTTACATCACTTTTAATACAACATCAGAGTATAATCTTTATTGTTATAACAGCGGAATGTATTCATATTATCAGAGTTATGAATAATTTAATTGAACAACGGAATATAAACATGTGAACAGAGTTACAGCAGAAATAAATATCTATTCATGACATGATGAAGTGTTGATATATATAAACTATGACAACAGATTATAAACTTTCATTTATAAAAACATTTATTAAGAGTTAGAAATAAAGACTATGATCGCAGCGTAAAGAAAATCTTCTCTGAGCCCACCAGGAGGAATCCACATATAAAGGTCAGCTCTAGCCTTCACCTGTCACCTGCAATAGGGGAAAATAAAACCCTGAGTACTCAATTGTACTTAGCAAGACTTACCCAACATGAGGAAAGAAAAGACTCCAATGATATGCAAGGCTATCTGGCTAGTGGATTTATTGCATCTGTAGGAGCATTATTAAAAGTGCGTCCTTATATTCAAATTTTATTAGCAGTGCATTAGTTTATTAACTAATCATTCTATGTAAGCACATGTGCTACTTTAAAGCAGGTGGTAAGCAATCAAATTTCCATTTCTTCACCTTTCCTCTTTCAGTTCTTACTACGGTGCTAGGCCGTAGACAAACCGTACTGGATTGCCCGGCGATTTGCGAATCAATGCCCCCAGCAGGGTACCCCAAAAACACAACGCCCCGCTTGTACCCAAGGCACAAGCAGGACCAACCCACTACCCCCTATCATGGGGTCCAGGTCCCCGTCCAAACTGGAACTTCAAGCCCCCGCCCCTGAGTCCCGGACTCAGTGCGGTGCAAGAACCTCTTAACCCAAAAACTACCCTAACAGTCGGTCTAGAAAGAGCCGGAACCCATGACAAGAGAGTAACAAGTCTTTCAAGCGCCCATACCCAAGTATGTGCTCGGGATAATAAGTCTATGACTTGCCTAGAGTCTTATGCAACGGCCGGTTCTTAACCGACATGGACAGGGAATACAGTGTAAACAAGCTATGTCCCGTTGGCCACAGGACACAACCTCTTACACCCACCAATACCCAAACCACATCCCTGTCTAGTCACTATTTTTCCTTTCCACCATTTATATTTTTCCAAGTGATAAGTAATATATTTCCTATATATCGCGAGTAACAGACAATCACTCGACTTCTACCGGAGTCCTGTAGCATAGCAGTTTACACGACCCTATCATACTAGTAAGACTCATATGATATATATATATATATATGCAAGTGGGTTTCATTCAACTCCTTAAAACTTAATGCACAAATATAATTTAAAGTGTAGAAAAGTAGGGGTTATGCACCGGGGCTTGCCTGGATAAAATAAAACCAAAAGTTAGTATTTGCATCTTCAGATCATCCACCATCATCTGAATAGAAAGCCCATTGCATCATCTCCTGGAGAGAACACCATTACACCATCTTCAGATTCCCACTCATCCTTCATTTGATCCGTTGATCCATCATCGTACCTATATGATATGTAATGCGATGAAATACAAAGACGTAATTACTCGACTGCAATCGTGACTTGTAAAAATACGATTTACGCCTCTCAAGTTAACGAGCTAGTTCTAACGATGACCGTACTTATGCTACATATCCATGTTATCGAATAAGACGTTATTTCCCAACAATTATTTTAGTTATATAAACACAAGTTGTTTCTTTATTTCATTCTATTGATTTAATCATTATTCGAAATAGGGCATCATTATCTATCTAGCAAACGAATTATTCCGGAGCTACAAAAATTACAGTGAGTACCTAATATTGCTAGGAGCCTACTACAAAAATTTCAGATCCAACACTATTACCAATTTATCACAACAATTCCTACAAATTTATATTTTTACAATATTAACTACCTTAAATTAATTATATAGCTTCCAAGAATATTATCAAACTATGTGAACAAAATATACTAACAGGTAGATCATGATTTTAAGAGACTAACAAAATTGGTTTCATAAATTTTTTGACAACTACACAAATTTATATTGATTTTACAATTTTATTTCCTAAACTAAATTAGCAATCGCTTTAGAAAGCTAAAAGGCCAGCGGCCACCAAAATGGCCCAGCGGCGGCGATAATAGCGCGGGCGGCCCAGGCGCACAGGCAACCGTCTGGCCCAGCGCGGGGCGAACGGCCCAGGCGGGGCACGACGCGCGCGTGTCTAGAGGCCCAACCAGGGCGGCGATAGGCCGGCCCAGCGGACGGCGAGCGCGGCCCAACAAGGCGGCAACTGGCCGGCCCAGCGCGCGGGCGCGAGCGGCCCAGGCGCGGTGAGCAATAGGCCGCCCCAAGCGGACGCATCAATGGCACTTTAGCGAAGAGGCCCCTAAGTTCTCTTTAAATCAACTAAGCCCCTTTTTGCGAATCTACGAGTATAGCGTTTTTGTAAAGTGAACACGGTAAAATATTCTATTTGCGTTCAAGTCCTTCTCTACCTTAAAACAGAGCCGCGTAGAGGTAGGGGAACCGGTCGGCGGCGGCGCTGTGGCAGAGCGACGCGGTACACGGTGGCTGCGGCGCTGTGGGGCAGCTCCTCAGCGTGGTCGTCTACGAGGAGGCACGACGAGGCGATGCGGTGCTGCGGGGGATGGGTGTCGCCAACCTTGGGTGGCACCGCAGCAGGGCGCGGCAGCACGGCGGCACAGCACCAGCACCGACGCGGGCGTGGGGCGTGGACCACGATGAAGACGCGGCATGAAATCCGGGCGCACCTACGCGTGCAACGGTCGACGACGGGAGCCGCCGTAGGTGCCAGCGGGATGCAGCGAGAGTGCAGCCGCGCTGGTGCTACACATGGACAAGCAACAGAGAGTGGTGGTGTGGAGCTGTGGTCGTCGAACAGGAGGATGCGGCGCACGGCAATGCGGGCTCGGTGGTGCGGCTGGCTCTAAGACGGCGTCGTGGTGCTGCGCTGGGCTTCGGACGCGGTGACTGGCGGGCGGTTGGCGATGTCGGAGTCATAGATGCAGTAGTCATACTCCTTGGCGACGTCTGGGGTGACGGGGGCCCGGCTCCAGCCCTGCTCGGTGGCCATGCCCAGGCCGAAGACAATGATGTCTAGGAGGAGCACCACCGCCTGCACGATGATGGACTCCATCGTGAGTGAGCGAGCGAGCTAGCCTAGCTTGCTCCTATCGGTTGGTCTCTACTAGCTCGCGGCCGAGCTACAGGTCTGGGCTGGGTACTGCTGGGGTGAGCTTGGCGAGCCTCAAGAAGGCAGAGGGCAGGGCAGGCAGCAGCAGGGAGCACTGACGCAAGAGGCAAGCAGAGAGACCGAGAGAGCTAGCAAGTGGGGAGGGCGCTCGGAGACAGGGAAAGCATGCGCGAGAGGAAAAAGCGAGGAGGCTTGAGCGAATCGACCGACAACGGCCACGAGAACATCGGTTAGCACGGACAGCGCCATAAAGATGTGCCTACGCGCGGTCACATGCAACAGTGACACGGCAGGCAACGCGACGACGTAAACAAATCAGCTGACTGATTCAGAGAAGGGAAACGGATGAAGGCAAGGAAAAGCAGTACACGGCAGCAGCAACTCGACCAATTTTCTTTAAGACGCTCTCAGAGAAAGGACGCGAGGGAGAGGGAGCTGCGGCACGGCGACGAGGACTCGACAACGCGGCGCGACGCGAATAACTCCGATGATTGATGGATTCAGAGTAGGGGCACCACCATATTCAAGCGGCCAGGACGGCAGTGAGGCAAGGACAGTAGCTGAACATATGGGTGTCGTGTGGCTCTGCTGGCTGCCTGCCTGCGCGTGCGACGTGGATGTCGGACAGCGATACGTCGTCGGCACTCCAGAAGATCTAAATCCTATCGACTGCCACCAATAGACATTTCACGCGATAGCTCCCAAGCCATGGAACAAAATGTTAGGGTGTTATGTAATTATTTTACGCAAAACAAATCGCCACAAACAACGCTTTAAAATATACGTTCCTTTTTTAGCGTTGACGCCAGAAGATGGTTTTTAAATTTTAAATTCGATTTACCATGGAACAACATCTATTCACCAAATCAACGGTTGTATTGTCATCTACTAAACTGGCACTTCAAATATCATTTGAGTACCAATTACAAGTTATATTTTATTTTTGTTTACAAAATTGTTTTCATGCTCAATCCAACCGAACAAGCCATTCGCCATTTACTTGCTAGAATCGTTATCGGACATTCCTAAATATCTTTACGCACTGAGCAATTTAACTAGGTGTTGATTCGAGTCCACAAAACTGAGTCACACAGGACTCACTTATCACATCAAGTATGTTTTAAATCAAAAATCCGAGAAACTCGTTTCGAAAATTTTTCTTAGGCCTAAATCACGGTGCTAAATGAGCTCGTAATACCAGAGGTGTTACAACCAACCCCCCTTAAAAAGAATCTCGTCCCAAGATTCGAAGCAAGAACCAGAAGAGGGGAAACACGATTACATTCCGTAGATCAGGGATTATACGAAAGATTACATGACTTCGAATGTTAAACCACACAGGAATTTAGGGATACATGGTTCAGAGCAACCTAATCCAACCGAGACTTAATCCAAAAGGCAAGATAGACGAGGACAATGGAGAAACAACAAGATAATGATTATCCAAAACATGGCGTAACACCAACAGATCCAGAAACAGGAGTATGAGAAGTCAAACATCGTGAACCCTAAGACCAAACTAACCAACGGTGGACTTGAAATTCTTCGAAAACCGGATCCATTCTTCTTCTCAGATTACACCATCACATCAGACTAATGAACCTAGCTTCACAATGATGACTGAATCTTGTAGCTCTGCGTTGGATTCGATGGGATGGGATGAAGAAGAAGAACAAGGACCACTGGTATCTTATAGTGACAAACGAAGGTGGAACGCAATGCACCAGAAGTGGAGACAGAGTGGATGGGATACTCACACGGTTCATGCTGTGGGGATAAACTCGGCCGTGGTGCACTCCTGGCGCGAGCGGTAGAGGATAAGGGAGAGGAGAGGGGGTCCGCTCGACGAGGGAGATGTGCGGGCGGTTGTGTTCCCAAAAGAAGAGAGAAGGAAGGGGAAAGGGGAGGGGTCCGGTACAAGGGCAAGAGCATGGGGGTCGAGAGCCGACCGGATGCTGAGGAAAAGGAAAAGCGCACAGTGCACAAGGACGATGAGTGCGGCACGATGGCGCGGCCACACGAAAATGGGGTGCTAATGGGCCCGACACAGACGAGGTCCGCAGGGCACACAGCGCAATAACCCAGCATGCGTAGTGCGGTCAACTAAACACAGGCCTGGGAGAATTTTTTTTATTTTTAACACTTTTTGTAAACTAATTTTAAATCTAACACTGTTTTTTTTTTTCCAAAACTAACACTTTTGGCCGCGCCTATTTCTTTGTCACGGCGAAATGCCTGTGCCGCGCTGAAAGCATCTAGGCCCCTAGTTGGGTTTTGGTGATTAATGACAATACGTGATTACTGTGACTAACGTGTGTTTTGCAGAGGCAGTTAAGTTAGGTCACGATAATGGAGATCGATTGGGCAATCAAGGTGGTCATGCCCCTACAATGGAATTCGTTTCGGTTTTTAAAGGATGGACGATAAGGTTAAGGATAGACTAGTTCTAAGTGTCGTTTGAAGTTGAAGAGACATTTAGAGTAGTTTAGGACGTTGTTTTTCCTTTGGCCGTACTATTAAGGGGGGTATGGACGGGTAGCTTGACCTAGGTGAGTCTAGTGAGTTAGGTGTGGTGTACACTTGTTAAAACGAGTACTAGGTAGCTCCAAAATAGCCCTTAGATCCAATGGAGCAAACTTTATTCACATATGATCGAGAGTTGGAAGTGAATGGAGGGTCAAATACTGACTTGACGCTGGCGCAGAGTCCGATCAGTTCATTTGACCAAGGTGAAATCATCTGGCGTGACTGGACGCTGAGAGGTGAAATGACCGGACGCTGAGGGCCAGCGTCCGGTCGACTCCAGTAAGGTTCCAGAGAGGGAAAATCACGACCGGAAGCGTCCATCCGGTCAGCATTGTAAACACTGGAGTTTGGGGTGTACTGACCGAAGCGCCCGGTCAACATGACCGAGCGTCCGGTCACCCCGCAGAGGCACATAACGGTTCATTTTTCAGCCCATGTTATAAATACCACCTCCACTCATGTGTGGGGGTACTTTTGCTCATTCCAATAGCTGAGAAACACCTTAGAGAGTGCCAAGAAGAGCAAGGTCCTAGTGAGGTGATTGAGATTTGAGAATCCCGAAGAGAGCCCTCATTAGTGAGATCAAGAGTAGCAAAATATGCATCCACCCTTCTCATTAGGCTTGTCGTAGTCAAGTGAGAGTTCGTGCTTGTTACTCTTGGTGATCACCATCACCTAGATGGCTTGGTGGTGATTGGAGCTTGGTGATCATCCATAGAGCTTGTGGATGACCCAACTCAAGTTGTGAGCGGTTGTGGGTGATTCACCACGACGGAGTGTCGAAGAATCAACCCATAGAGAGCACTTGATCCTTGCGCGGATCAAGGGGGAGCTACACCCTTGCGCGGGTGCTACAACGAGGACTAGTGGGGAGTGGCGACTCTCCGATACCTCGGCAAAACATCTCCGCATTCCTCTTTCTCTATTTACTTTGAGCATTGACTTTGAGCACTTACTTTGAGCAATTCAATTCTTGTCTTTACATTCATAGAATTGCCATGCTAGAGTAGGATTGGAATTTAGGTTGCAAGTCTTTTGTGCGGTAGAACAATTAGAAACACTTTCTAGGCACAAGGGGTTAATTGGGCTAACCATAGGATTTAATTATTGAAAGAAATTTAGAATTAGCCCAATTCAACCCCCCTCTTGGGCATCTTGATCCTTTTAATTAGTATCGGAGCCTCGTGCTCACGTATTTAGGCTTAACCGCCTAGTGAAAGATGTCTCACGGGGATGGACCTCCTCCTATCTTCGAGGGGGATGATTTTCCATATTGGAAAATCTGCATAGAGGCATACCTAGAAGATCTAGATGTTGGAATACTTAGAGCCATCTCACAAGGTTTCCCAAAACCTCGGGATGCCGCACACCCCCAAGGCGATGAGTTGAACTACAAAAAATGGAATGCAAAGGCTAGAAACACCATATTTAGAGGCCTTTGTAAAGATGTGTTCAACCGGGTGAGAAACCACAAAGACGCCCATGCACTATGGTCGGACATTTGTGCGCTCCATGAGGGAACAAAGAGTGAGCGTGAGGAACGCTATCATCTTGTCATGAAAACGCTTAACTCTTTTGAAATGCTTCCCAAAGAATGTGCTAATGAAATGTATTCACGTTTGAATGTTCTTGTAGAGAAAGTCAATTGGCTTGGACTCACTCAAATGCAACCATCCGATGTTGTAAGAAAGATCTTGAGTGTCCTCCCCATTAACAAATATGGGCATATTATGACCGTGCTACATTAAGGTGATCTTTTCACCGCTACACCGACACAAATCTTGGGAAAGATAAATGCTCATGAGATGTACATGCACATCACACCTCAAGATGGCTCATCCTCTATAAAAAAGAAAGAAAAAGATTTAGCATTCAAAGCTAGCCAAGAGAAGGGCAAAGCAAGGCTTGAGTATGAGAGCTCAAGTGATGATGAATTTGATGATGCAAGCCTTGCTCTCATGGTGAAGAAAACCACCAAGATGCTAAAGAAGCTCAACAAGAGTGGCATCAAGTTCGATGGCAAGAAGAAGAAGTTCTTCACAAGCTCTAGAAGGAAGCCAATCTCTGAGATGGATTGCTATAATTGTGGAGAACTTGATCATCTAGCACACCAATGCACCAAGCCCAAGAAAGACAAGTTCAAGAACAAGAACAAGGGCAAGAAAGATGACTCAAGCAATGAAGATGAAGATGAGAAGAAAAAGAACAAGCCATACAAGAAGAGAGATGGCAAGAAGGACTTGCACAAGAAGAAGAAGAGTGGAAAGGCTTACATCGTCGATGATTGGCTCACGGACATTGATTCATCTAGTGGATCATCCGTTGATGATAGTGACGACGAGAAGGTGGCCGCCATTGTTATTGACTCTTCATCATCTTCACCGACACCACCGCCATCATCCTCTACACAACTATGC